TCAATATATCTTACAATGACTTACCTATCATCCCTGACATCTCATTGAAACATCTGAAAATCCTTGATTTAGCAAACAATCTGTACAACAGCTATCGAATTCCAGCGTCATTTCAAAACCTGACGAATCTGCATGTGCTGTCATTAGGTAGCAGAGCTGCTCTGTCAGTCAACTACAATGACTTTGATCTACTGATGAACGTTTCTCTGCATCATCTGGTTTTGGGAGCAGGAATTAACTGGCAAAAGTATGATTCTGGTGCTCTTGCAAAATTTAAGTCCCTCCAAAGGATTTCCCTCTTTGCGTCTTTTTGCAGGGATTTCGGTATGTTTGAGAATGTCCTTGTGGACTTGAATGTGACAGGGGCAACATCATTGAGATTCATCACTGTCTTTCCAGACAACTGCAATGTCAGTGGCAACCCTTTTAAGAGCCTGACAACGATGCCATTTATACAGAATCTCACCATAGAGAACATGTGGATAAACAGCTCATTTATGGAAGCATTTCTAAAGAACGTGTGGCTCTCCTCCCTTTATGACCTTTCATTTGTCAACATCACATATAATGAAGATACACTGGACGGGTTTCAGTTTCGCACCATTAATCACACAATCAATCTTTGCTCAATTACCTTCAACGGTGTGAATCATTATCAATACAAATACCCCACAATCAACATGAGCTTTGAGGCCATTTCAAATCTGACCTATTTAAAGTTCTCTGGTACTGGAATGAACATTTTACCCTGCAATGCCATATCAGCTCTGCCGTCACTGGAGACACTAGATCTGTCAGATAACCTCTTAACGGATTCTGGCTTCTGGTGGTTTCAGTGTTCGTACACCTCCGTCTTCCCTAAACTGAGGCAACTGTCTTTGAGCAAGAACCGCTTCATCAGTCTTTCATTTATCTCTGAGAAGACGTATCAGATGAAGACATTAGAGTCCCTGGACCTCAGCTTCAACTCCATCTCCTTGGATGGGAACTGCTCTTGGCCTGCTCATCTGACTGACCTCAGCTTGGGAAATAACAACCTGGGCAACAGTGTCTTTCAGTACCTGTCGCCAAACTTTGAGAGGATCGACTTGTCAAAGACGGGAATAACAGCAATAACACAAGAGGATCTGTCTCAGTTCCCCAAGCTGACACACCTCAAACTCAGCTCCAACAGCATCCAGGTTATCCCTACAGATCTCATGGCCCCAGCTCTACTCAGTCTCCATGTAGACCAGAACGCTATTACATCTATATCCAAGGAGGTCTTGGCAGGACTTCCCAGGCTTCAGACCCTCAAAGCTGGAAGCAATCCATTTGTCTGCTCATGTGACTCCCATTGGTTCGTCACTAATCTCAACAAGTCTTTGCTACCGGACTGGCCCTTAGATTATACATGCAGCACCCCGCCATCGTTTGCAGGCCTGTCACTCTCAGAGTACAAAACCAGTGAGCTGTCATGTGAGACATGGCTTCAAGCTACAGTCACTTTGCCTGTAGTTGTAGTTATATCTGCAGCCATAGGTCTGGTTTTCTATAAATGTGACGGAGTGTGGTATACAAAGATGTTATGGGTGTGGATCAGGGTGAAGAAGAGAGGCAAAAAACACTCCAACATGTTGAATAATGTATCGTATAGTTATCATGCATTCATCTCCTACAGTCATCAGGATGCTGGTTGGGTGGACAGCCAGCTGGTGCCCTCTATGGAAGATTCCGGGTTTTCTCTATGCGTTCACGAGCGCGACTTCGTCCCTGGTGACTGGATCATAGATAACATCATCAAGTGTGTGGAGTCCAGCTACAAGACACTGTTTGTCCTCTCCAAACATTTTGTCCAGAGTGAATGGTGCAACTATGAGCTCTTCTTTGCCCAGCACAGAGCCATCAGTGTCCAGCAGGACTGTTTAGTCTTCATATTACTAGAGCCCATTACAGCTGAGTCTCTGCCCAAGAGGTTCTTGAGACTTAGGAGTTTACTGAGGCAGCAGACGTACCTCGAGTGGCCGAAGGATGAACGGAAGCAGCAGGTTTTCTGGGCAAGTCTTAAATCCATGCTGCATATGGCAGATAAATCTATGGTTCTAAAAGATGTGGCTTTGGCCATTTCAGATACAGTACCTCTGGTTACAGACCAGGTGTGAGTGTTTCTCTAAAAGTTGATCAAAAAACAATACCAGTATTTCTTTGCTAAGTTTTGCCACAGATCTACAAATTTGGTACTAAAAAGACTTTGGAAGATACCACCATGATTTGATTAACTCAAAGCATCGTCATACCTTCATATGAACTCTTTGTGGTCAGTATGAAACATTTACAACAACTTGTAGTGCTTTCAGTGTACATACACACATATTATTATATTGAGTATTGTATTAACATTGACACTGTAGGTTCTGCAAATAGATTGTGAACTGTAAATAGTGATCAGTCACAATGACAATCCTTTAACAAAATGGTAAAACCAGTAACGACTTAACATATAACGACCTAAGTTTCACTACCAATACCAAAATAAAAAATTTTCAATGCCTTGCTTTACATATTTTTCAACAAAACCTTTTTTACAAGAGAAGTTAATTAGTTTATAAGTAATGTGTTTAAACACAAGCACAAACCTTGTCTTGTCAGAAATTGGCAACCTTTTTAATCAGAAGAATAAGTAAATAAGATTATAAATCAGACCCTATATTTGATGCCAACTTCTGAGTTTCAAAAACTACATTAGAACATGTTAAAGCTCAAAATGAATCCCTGATTTTTACTATTCAAAATATATTCATGATAGTTACATTCTGTTGTGATAACCCTGTCTCTTATACTGGTGTTGTAAATCAGTGGTGATCAGCTTTGGTCGAAGCTGTTTCATCATCAGTTAAGTTGCTTTGGTTGACTGACAGCTGTTCCCTGAAATCTACTGCAGATTGTACTTCTAATACACACTGGAACAGACTGGAGCCCTGCATGAGCAAAAATTACATGAAGCGTTTAAGTATCCACAGCTTCAATGTAACTAATTCAACTGATAATTCAAGATTATAAATACACTTTAACTAGTCAGATATTTACTGAACAAGCTCTGCCTGGACAAACACCTGTTATGATATTGACAACTTCTCTTTAGATATTTGATAAAAGAAAAAATATATATTCTAAGCAGTAATTCAAGATACCTCCCCATTATTTAATGAGTCAGTTTAAGATTTCCCACTGTAGTGTGATATGTCAGTTTAAAGTTAAAATGGTTTGGCATTGAGCTTAAACAGAAAAAAAACTGCTGTTTGCTGTAAACACAATGATAACACAATACTTTTCTGATGTTATGAATATTAAAATATGATTAGAGATATTCAGATTTCAAATATAATGCAGCATGCCTTTTCCCAGTAGAGAGATGTATAATTTGTGCTGTTTTATGGTCTTGTGTATGTGTCCTAAAGCTTCTTTTTTTAATGTAAGGAAATGTCGCCATCTACTGTTTGTAATGACACTCACCACACACCAATGTGAAGGAATTAATTAGACTGAGGTTTTTCTTTTCTATTTTTCATATGAAATCGCTTAAAATGAAAGTCCATGATAAATGTATCATTTCAATGTAAGTTTCAATGTCTATGTAAATGTGGTTCCATATCATTGTATGCCAGTGTAATGGGTCCCCAAATTCTTAATGTTAATATACCATGTAGGCTTATACTATGGTACCGCTTTGTATATGGAACTCTTTATAACAGGTTTATCAGCTATAACAAATGTTAAAAAAAACATTTATTCATACTTTTTTTGATCCATTATAAGTCAATTTTAAGAACAACTGTTGTTTTGCCAGGTTGTAAAAAACTAAACACCCTTGGATGGTGAAAAAAAATATTTTCTCTCAAATTTGCTGAAACTTTCACTATATCTTGACAGTAGTACATATGTTTGCTTGGAAAAGCCACCAAATGAAGATATTTGAACTCAAAACACATAACAATATTATGGCACATTAGTAAAGCATTGAATAGAAAAATGTGGCTTTAGAAATCAATATTTTTTTTATTCCCAAATCTTTCCAAATACATGTCTTATTTCATTGAACTTAAGCCTATCAGTTGATCTAAAATGTGGCCATAACAGATCAACAGATCGTTCTTACACATTGTTTTTAAATTAATCTAAACTACTGTCTTACATTTGACAACAATTTTAAACTGGGGTGGCAGCTGGGGTGGCAAGGCATCTTTAGCATTGTAATTTGATACGTTATTTTAACTAACTTATTAGTTACTACTTTAAGAGTTTAAACAGATTACATCAAAAAAGTAACATAATGTCACCGTTGTCACATTCTTGATTAAGTACTTTTTACTAGGTCTTTTGTTTTAACAGCACAAATAAAAATTACAAAATGAAGTCAGTGTCACTTGCAGTTATTGCAGCTACTTGATCAAGAATGTTTTTTGACTTACAAAAGTTACTAAAAATGTCCGATGTAATCAGTTTCAACATTTGTTTTAGTTAAAAAAAAAAAAACACAGAGCAGGTCATCCACTAATCGAAAGGTTGGCAGTTCGATTCCCCGGCTCCTCTTCCTGCAAGTCGAAGTGTCCTTGAGCAAGACACTGAACTCCAAATTGCTGTGTATGACTGTGTATGAATGATTAGTTTGCTTTCTGGTGAGCAGTTGGTATCAGAACTGCCATCAGTGTATGAAGTGTACAGCGCAATGAGTGGTCGAAAGATTACAAAGGCTATATAAGTACAGTCCATTTACCATTTAAATGAACGTATCTGGTTTTACAGTACATCTCCCATCCCTCTGGATGGCCATGATTAGTTACAACTTATAAACTATATGTTGATTTTCATTTTTTATTGTCCTAGTCCTCACAGTTTCATTTCTTGCAAAAGCATTTTTAGCAATGCTGACGTTCGACAGTAGATACTGTCAATGGTGTAGATTCGTTAGCAGAAACTACAATTCCCATCATTCCATGTGTGTAACAGATATTTGCGCCGACTCACTGAGTTGTGTAGTTGCCCCTGTTCTCTCCTCCTTTCAATGTAAGATGGTGGTTTGTGGTGTAAGTAGGTAGCAGCACCTTTATAAGCTGATAGAAAAGGCCGGTGCCTTCCTTAAGACAACAGCCCCACATACAGCAGCGTTCTGTACCGGAGCTTCTGTCCCACACAGGCAGACCTCTCCCTCTACATCCTGGAGAGGAACCTCCAGTAACACATAGGCAGGGTGAGTATCCACACTAACAGTTACCCTTATGAAACCAACGCCATAAACTGGGCTATCTACTGAATCATCATTTTCACTGGAAGACATGAGTGACATAGTTCAGCCAGCCCTGTCTGTCTGGGGCGCTGCTCCGGGAAGAGAGCCGAGGCAGCTTCATTCACGCTGGGGTCGCTGTTTCGGTTATGTCGGGCTCTGCCGGCGGAGGGCAGGCCGCGTAAACTCCTTCCTGACAGACTTTTCTACGCAACACAACTTATAAACAATAAAGCAGTGTGCGAGGGAGCGGCAGTGTCTTTCGGTAACTTTGGCGGGGGGTTTGTCACACAGTGAGCGCCGTTTTCAGGCTACAGCAGCCCTGTCTGCCCTTAGTCTACGTCATACAAGACAGACAGTAGCTAGCAGCATTCCAGGCAGCCAGCCAAGCCGGTTAGCATAGCTGGTTAGCATAGCTTAGCTTAGCCCGGCAGCGCCCCGCTGAAGTGTCACTCCAGTAGGCACATGACTGTCAACAAAGCTGCCGGTTCTAAGCCTCAAGCAACACTGCTTGTATTTATGTACTTATTAATAGGTATGTGAAAGTTCGATAAGTGCATTAACCAAGATGGCACTAAACACTGCTAACAAACTTTGCATATTAACCCATAGCTTGTTTGGCGCAGTTAGTTTGTACAATGATCATATGATGAATAATTAAGCATATAGTTGTGTTCATCTTCCGAGCTCGCAAGAAAAGAAAACCAGCCGAAAATGGTGTGGGGCAGGTGACATGATATGAAGTCAGTAATTATTGGAGTTGGAGTTTGATAATTGTTGTGGAAAGGTCCAACCTTTGGTCTTCTAACCTAAACAAACAGCACTGCTTCTGGAAGTTGTCAGCCTGATTTCTCGGTGAGAAGAGCTGGTTGTCTGTAGCTCTGTGCTCTGTTCTCACTGGACTCCTCCTCCTCCTCAACAGTTCTTTTAGCTGTCTACGAGCCAGCCTCAGAGGCAGACAGTGGCTGTTCACCATGTTTTCTTGTCATGTACACTTTTTATGGCCTTGATTATTGCAATTTGTATTCATAAATCAGAATCAGAAACAGGTTTAGGTTGAAAACGGGGGTGCCCGGTTAGCTCAGTGACCCATACCCATGCACTGAGGCTGAGTCCCTGCTGCAGCGGCCCAGGGTTCGAATCCGATCTGCAGCCCTTTGCTGCGTGTCATCCCCCCTCTCTCTGCCCCCCTCCCCTGTCCCTCCTCAGCTGTCACCATCATAAAGGCAATAAAAGCCCCAAACAATATATATATATACATAAATGAAAACAAGTTCTGCAAGTCAAGAAGCAAAATGGGAAATTTTTAAGTGAACCATTAATTTATGAAAAAATATTGTAAAAACAGTAAAGATGTCTGTCTTCTCTCCAATGTAATGGAACCAGATGGCACTTGGCTTGTGGTGCTCAAAGTGCTAAAAATGCATTTGAGCTCAACAGCAATGTCTCTCTCCAGAAATCATGACAAGATAATCCACATTTTGATGTCGGAACTGTTTTCTTCTTCTAACTATTTTCTTTCTTTATCAAATCCCTTACTGATTCCTGATCAGTTTTCTGTGTGAAAAAGTAGGCCTACAAAGGTTGTCAGCATTAGCACTGATGTTTTATAGCAAATAGAAAAAGTCATGCATGTGACTCAGGTGCGCAGAGCTCCACTGTTTAACTGCAGTTAAATGATGATATACTGTTATTATAGCATTGGATATTTACGCTCGGTAACAGATGTGTTGCTCGGTTGGGAAGAATGTCAAACATGCTCATGTTGAATTTAAAGATGTTTCCGCACATTGCTGGTGTTTCCACCCTTACTTAAAATGATCACTTTACAGACATTATAACAAGCACAGTTATCACCTGTGGACCGTTTCTTCCTCTCCACCATGACTCCTTCTGGTTGCACGTTTCCAGCAGCATAGACACATGAGTTCGACATCCTTTTGCCATATGCACATCACAAAAATATGCCGGCATCAATAAAAGGAATTGATAAGCTCAGAGGTATATGGTTCAAATGGGTCGGACAATTTGGAACCAGTTCTCAATCTCCATCCCTAGATAAACAAGCTGTACACTACCTTCCCAGCAGATAGCGAAAGTTAGAGACCAGTTTTAGACTTCTTTAAATTCACGCCACGTACAACTGCTTACTGTAAGTTATTAGTGGAACTTTTCTTTGACACACTCTTGTGACATTGCTTCCTGCTCTTGATCGGTATGATTGTTCATGTTTCTTTATGAGCATGCGCACAATGCATTGCAGTTAATCATTAATGAGTATAAGCCAGAGTGTGCTTTTTTAGTTTCCTCTATGTGCTTTGTTTGTGTCAGTGTTGTTCTGCATGTGTTGCCTTGTGTGTCAGTGATGTCTCCAGGCTTCCACTCAACAGAGCGTGTGTGGGGAAAGTATGGCAATGTTGTTTCAGGTAACTGACACACTGTAAATAGATCTATTTCAGCCCCTTCCTTGTTCTTTTAATGAGGTATGTTCATCTTGTGAGTCACTACAATAAAAAGGTTAATGTGAACGTACATGTAGGCCCCCCGACTCTGTGCAGCAGTGGGCTAGGCAGCAGTAAGTGGGGACGAAGCTCTTCTGTCCCACACAGGAGGGGAAATTCAGTTTAAGCAGATCAGAACCAGGCAGGAAGGCAGAATAAGTGAGGAGCTTTTAGTGTTACCACACTACATTTTACCCTTCTACTAAAAGCCTTTTTGCACATGACTGATATTTCTGATAGATAGACTCGTAATGATTGGGACTAGGAACCTAGTGTGTTTCCACCACAGCGACCTCGGCCTACATTAGGTTTTGGGAACATTATTTTATCCCCCCAAAAGTCCCCGCTCAAGGGCTAGTGCTTTTCTTACATATAGGATATTTGGAGGTGGGTTACTTTGTTTTTTGTTCATTGTGTTTAGACGCATCAGGAGAAAGCATATGACAGACAGACCAACCATGTATGATGTTATGCAGGTTGAAGCAACCTTCAGTTCCTAGGACTAAAAAGTTGTGGGAATGTGGTTACACACAGACAATGGTGGCTGTCCTGTCAGACTGTTGGTGCCAGGTGACGTGATTTCAGCAGATGGTGGTGTGGGGATGATGTGTGCTGAGCTAAAGGTCCCTGCATTAACAGGTGGCTGATAGGACACCACAGAGAACTTGATTAGAAGAGCGGGTTTCCAGAGGTGGAAAGTAATGAAGTAGAAGGACTTTGTTAGTGTACTTAAGTACTTTCTTTCATTGACAGTAGTACACGAGACAGATAATCTGTGAAAAAAACAGGTTCCTCTGGCTCCTCCTAGTGTTGCTAAGGGTATTTAAGAATCCACCAGGCCTGAATGAAAACAACCAATCCGAGCTGAGAAAGATGGAAAGATGCTTTGGGTTGGTGGCATGAAGATAGTTGATTGTTGAGTCTCATTCCTAGAGTTGGTATTTGGCGACCTGGGAATGAGACTTTTTCTTTTCTTTCTCGGCTCTTATTGTTGTTTTTTTGTTCAGGCCCGGTCTGATACTGATAGGATAACCAATTCATCTTCATAAAAATATGGAGATGACAATAACTACTGTTTATATTTTTATATTGACAGGTTTATAATACTAATCCAATATTTAGAGAGCCTTCATCAGCCCTTCAATAAAGAATGCATTACTTTGTTGTGACTTGTTCTGATAGCCTTAGTTTGTTTTTTATCATATGTGGACTTATTAATACCAGACATTATCTTCATTTTAGCAAGCATGTATAGGCTACAGAACACAAATAAATTGCAATATGGCCAAATATTTAATATGGAAAAATATGTGACAAACAGCAATATAATGAAGTACTTTACTGCTGCTGAGATGCCCTGGTTTACAAATCTTTTTCTCCAAATGTGACAAAACATGTTTGTTTGGTACAGACCCATGATGATTTTAATCGTTTTTTCAATTTGTGATGCAGAGATGATCATTCCCACACTAATCGTGAATTATATTGCAGTAGTGGTCAAAATAATCGCAATATGATGTCTTTACCATATCGTGCAACCCTAATGTGCACCACAGTTTAGAATAAACAACTGTCAGATGTAATACATTCTCTATAGACAGAGCTGAAACTGGAGTGGAAATAATGTAATGTAGCAAGATTAACTATGTAATCCACACGATTGAGGAGACTAAAAGATGCAAAATGCACAGTTGCTGGTTAATCAAATGTCAAAACTGTAAGTGAAATGAAATAAACAAATTATAATAATAAAATAATTGTATAATAAAATCAGGCTTAACAAGCATAAAATATATGCTAGTTTGGGTTATTATCATTGCCATTATTGTGCGATTGTCAGTTATGTTGAAGAGCTCCTTTCAGCTGAGTTGAGGTCACACAGTCATGTATGTTTTTCCTTCAGATGTACCATATTTTTCACACTTAAACCACAGCAGAGTAATGTCTCCACATGCACTCATATAGACACTGTTTAAATCAGTGCTGAGTCATGTGACCAAAAATTTCAGTTTTTTAAAAAAAGGTTTCTGGCAGTTTCAAAGTATATCACACTATTTTTTTTTTTAAGACTGAGTCTTATATAGGTTTATGGTGGCATATTGTACTGTCAGGACTCAATAAAAACATTTTAATGTCATCCAGGGGCAGATCTAGAGAAATAATCATGGGGTGTCCAGAGGGTGGATGGAGACTTTGAGGAGTGACAGAAATACCTAATCACAATCACATATATCAATATTATCCTCAAATGAAGATATTTGAACTCAAAGACATTATTGTGGCACATTAGTAAAGCACTGAATAGAAATATCTAAAGCCGGCATTAGAAATCAATACATTGTATTTCCAAATACATGTCTTTGTTTTCATTGAACTCATCACTTACAGATATGATAGATCCTTAAATCATAGGTATTAATTAACATTTTTAACACTGTATATTGAAAATTAATCTACACTGAACAA